TCACTAGGGAGGGGGAGGCAGAGGGACCTTAATGAATCCAATGGGTCCCTGCCCTCCCACAGGGAGCTCAGAGGCTAAGAAGTGGGATAATTCATTGACTAGAAGTTAGAGTGTACTAAGGGCCACAATAACAATACTAGCTGTGAGAGATTAGAAACACATCCACGGACTCTTTCACATTCTTCTTATCAAAAGGAGAAATCTAATTCCTCTCCCTTTGAATATGGGCAGCCTTTCTAACTTGCTTCTAATGAATAAAACGTGTAAGAAGCGATACTGTTTGATTTCAAAGGCAAGTTAGAAAAAGTGATACAGCTTCTGCCTGGCTTTTTCTTGGGACACTCACCCTTGAAACCCAGATGTCATACTGTGAGAAAGCCCGGGCTACACAAAAACCATGTGTAGGTGTTCTGATCAATAGCCCCAGCCAAGGTCCCAGCTGGCAGCCAGCATCAAACGCCAGATGTATGAATGAACATGGTTTCAGATGATTCCAACCCCCAGCCTTCATGCCTTTCCAGTTATGGGCTGGCTTCACTAAGTTCTGCCCACACTATAGATTCCTGAGAAAAATAAATGTACGTTAAGCCACTGAATTTTGGGGGTGGTTTGTTATGCATCAATAAATGACTGGAACTATACTAAAGTGCACTGCATATTTCTTAGAAGCCAAACAGTGTGCTAAGCACTTTACAGGATTATAATCAAGTTTAATCCTCCAGATGATCCTATTAAGTAGATACTCTGGGATCTCCACCTTATGGAGAACCGAAGCTCAGAGTGATTGATTGACTCGTCTGAATCATAGCGCTTATAAGTGTCGGAAACAGGACCAGAGGCAGCAGCGTGCTGGTAAATGTTTAACAACCAGTTCTCTGGGGTGAAAAAGTCATGATTTGCAGTGTTTGCCAGCTTCCATGGTGTAAATTCTCCCACCATGGCTGATTTCAAGCTACTGGTACTACAAGTGAAACTGGGAAGAGATGTGCACGCTCAGCTCTCCAGGCAGTTTGTGCCGGCGTCAGTACGCCGCTGAGTGGAGGCTGCCAACCCGAGGACCGTGTTCTGAGGAGATGATGGAGACAGCATGTACAGTGAGGGGTGTTCAGGGGAGTCTTCCAGACTTCTTCCTTGAAATATAGGTTGAGCTGTGGAAAAGTCATTTTGCATATTCACTCATTCTGTTTCCCTAAATTATGTACCAGACACTGTTTTAGTCACTGATTAGTGGCAAAATACAGACAAGGTCTCTCCGTTCAGGGGATTTTCTTTTTAGCAGGACAGAGACAGAGAGACTCAAACGCATAGGGCATATTGAGAAGTTTGAATTATTCTGGGAGCGAGAGATGGAGAGTGAAGTGGAGCCCGGACGTAGGATGTCACAGTCAGTCCCCAAGAGCAGAGATGGGTTGGTGGCTCCCTGCCCTCTTCTGGCCCTTCCATTTGGGGAAACTCTGGATCAGAAAAGTCTGAAGCTCGTTAGATTGGGGAAAGTTTCCCAGCGCTACCTCCACCAGCCCTCTCTCCATCCCTCTCCCTCCGTCTCTTGGTGAGAAGCTTCCTGAAGTTGGCCTGAGGCTCCTGAGAGGCTAATTCCACTGGGACCCTCAACTGGGGGATCTTAGGATCTGCGATAGAGATAAGAATCCGTGCAAAATCCTGAAATAATTCCCACGTGGAGCCGATTCTTAACTGGAAAAAAAAATGCTTCTAATCCAAAGGATTCTGTGCTCTGCAGAGACAAAATACATTGTCCAAGGCACAGCTTCATCAGAAAGAGAATCCTGAGGAATCGCTCTCTTCCAAGATGACAACATCCAAGCTTGAGTGATTTCATCCAAGGAAGGTGATTTATTTTTGATACACAAGATTGAAAATACTTAAAGCATGACATGTGAAATTATTAAGGAGATACTAAGATGTGAAGAATTAAGTTTTCCTGGTGTCTTGGTTGGTCAGAGTTGGGGCGGGGCATAAATAACTGAGGGGGATTACAACTTATAAGAGGACATAGCCAAATCGGATTTTTGAGGTCACTGCTCCTAAAGCCATTGGCTGAACTGACATAGGGAGGAGATCCTTCTAGCAACTCTCTTCTTCGCCTAGGCCCTTCTGGATTCCATCAGTTCTCTTCCTGAGGTCTCTGTGCTGCCCCAGCCTATCTTCCAGTTGATTAGGGAAAACTGTGGATCTGCTCTTTCTGTAAAATGGTATCTTTCTTGCCATGGGAGAGTCTTTTTTCTTTTTTTAACTATATTTTCTTCCCTTTGGTAAAATTCATACATGTACATGGTTAAAAATATTCAAATTGGCAGAAAAGGAAATTTCTATCTTCCTTCTGCTTACCCTAGGTCTCTCTAATAGAGGCACTATTCATTGGTTTGATTTTTTTTCTTTTGTCTCTTTCCAGAAACAGTCTATGTGCATTATTCACACACACACAGACACATATATCCCCTATCCTACTTGACCTCTTGGGAGCATTGATCCCAGCCCTCCCTCTGCCTCCCTCCCCTCTCCTCTCAACCTGCTCTCACCTCACTGGGCTGTGGGCATGGCTCCCTGTTCTTCTGTCTCTCTCACTGCTCCTTTGAGGATCTTTTCCTAGTTCTATTTTCTCTCTCAATCTCTCAATATTGAATGGCCCCAGGGCAGCGACCCCTGCCCCTTTTCTGTCTGTGCCCGTTCCCTACGTGGCCCTTTCTCCAGCCACAGCTTTGCATATGGTCTTCACGGCTGATCTCCCTGCTGGGAGGCTTCCATTCTTCCACTCGCTGCTCCAGACCCACTCTCCACCCTCCTTCCGGCTCTGTGCCTGGGGACTGACCTGTATGAACTACCTCAGTGGGCTCCCTCGCCCTCTGGTTTTCCCTGGGGTTTGACCACTGGCCAACAGAGACATGAGTTTGGAGGGAGGGAGGAGAGCGGGGTCAGGATATAGGTTCTCCCTGTAGGAGAGACTGGCTGCACTCCTCCACCGACATTCAACACCTCCTGTCAGTTGGCAACATTCCAACTTGTGTATCAAAAATAAATCCCCTTCCTCGGAGGAAATCACACAAGTTTGGATGTTGTCCTCTCCACTTAGCTCTCTCTGTCCCCAAGTTCCAGCAACTCCCTCCTCTCACCCCTTCAGAACTATGGATGGTTAAGGCCCCATTGCTACTGGCCTTGGGGTCCTACGCGGTCCTCAGGAGTTCTCTATACACTGCTACCTTCTTAAAGAGGCCTTTTATGAAACCTTCCTCAAATTCCTCCATCCAAGTGTGCCAGCTGTTCCCCTCTGCTACAGATCCCAGACAGCTCTCACATTTCTATCACCCCTGAACTCCCAACCTGCATAAACAGCTCAGACTGCTGATTCCTCACCACACTCCTAAAGCTGCTCCTCCCCAAGTCTTCCCTCTCCTGGGAAATGGTAACTCCACACTTGTAGTGACACAATCACTCTTTCCTCCTCTTCTCTCACAGTCCCATCTGGTCTATCAGCAAATTCTATCAGCACTACTACCAAAATATACCCAGAAGCACCTCACTGCTTCACAGTTCCTACCACCCTGGTCCAGCCACCCTTATGTCTCGCCTGGATTATTGCACCTGCCTCCTCCTGGGCTCCCTGATTCCACCCTCGTGCTCTGTCATCTGTCTCCACTCAGCAGCCAGAGTGATCTACTGAAGACTAAGTCACGTCATGAAAGAAGTCACACTTCTTTGCTCAAGACCCTCCATTGGCTTCCCATCTCACTATAAAAGCCAAAGCCCCTAAAGGGGCCTACATGGTCCCCCTCCGTCACCTTCCCAACCTGGACACACTCTATGCTACCACTCTGCCCCTTGCTCATTCTGCTTCACCACACTGGCCTCCCTGCTGCTCCTCACATGTCAAGTAAAATCCTGCCTCAGGGCCTTTGCACTTTCTATGCCCTCTACCTGACAGATCTTTGAAGTTCTCTTGCCTCATTCTCTGCTCAAACGCCAACTTGTCCAAGAGGCCATCTCTGACCATTCCACCTAAAACAGCACAACCTCCAACATTTTGTGAACTCTTTGCTCCCATTTTCCTTCACAGCACATATGCACATCTGATGTTGACCCCCAACCCCTAAGCAGCCCAAATCAGGACCTTCATCTATTTTGTTCATTGCTGTATCCCCAGTGTCTTCAACATGCCTGGCACTTGGTAGGGGCTCAATATATGTGTGTTAAATGAATAAAGATCTTTTAAAAAGTCACCACCATGGGCAGCACAGACAGAAGTCTGGAGGATGACCTGGGTTGTCCTCCCCTAACACTACGTCTTGGACAGTTGGCTCAGAAACAACCGCCTCATCCTCCCCCACAAGGTATACCATGCCTGAGTCCAGAGGGAACATGTGATTCATTTAACCAGTTCCCCACAGATGAACCTTTAGGTAGGTCTCAATCTGTGGCATTTCAAACAACGCTGCTGAGATCCACCTTGCGCATTTATCCCTGTATTCACGTCTGTGGGATAAATTCCTATGTGTACAATTGGTTAGGTCAAAGGGCATGTTCATCTAAAGTTCTGATCATATTGCCAAGCTGTTCTCCAAACTGGAGGGCCAGCCAGTTCTCCCCACCTCCACCCCGCCTCCTCCAACAGGGGAGAAATCCTCCTCTTTCTCCACCTGCTCCAACACCATGCAGTATTGGACTTTTTGATCTTGGCTAACATGGATTGGTACACTGGTGTTTAACTGGCATTTCTATACTGTGGGAAAAGTGAAGCATCTTTTCCTAGGAACCCCTCCGGGGATCGGAACAGCCTGGCTGAGATCCAGCTGGAGAGAGCCTGGGACCCAGCCTAACCAGGCGGGGGCAGACAGCACCCACGGCTCCACTCACTCCCTCGTTTTCTGCACGTTCCTTCCTTCCCCACAAGCTTCTGATTCCTGGAACCAGGCTCAGTGACCTCACGCCAGTGACTTCACATCCGGGACCTTCTGGGAATTCTCAGCAGCACTTTTTCGTAAGAAACTTAACGGGGGAGGCGAGAGGAGAGAAGGAAGGGAGTGCGTCGTAAGGGGGGTGAGGGGGAGGCGGAGCTTTTGGAGAAAAAGAGAGAAAGAGCGGCAGAGCCAGCTTCCTTTTTCCGATCAGGGACGGGTGGAGCTGGCAGGGACTGTGGCCGAGCTGCCGCCAGCGAGACTCGAGTACCCGCCCCCGCGGCCAGCAGCTGGGCACTCGCGCGCCCCTCCCCCGGGACGCGGGTGGCTTGGGGCGCGGACCCAGCCCCATCGCTCCTGGTATGGGACCACGGGACGATTCCCGAGTGCCCCCGGGCTGAGCCTCTGCCAGAATTTTCTTCGGAAGTTAACGGGGCATCTGACTTGGCAGCTTTGCCACAGATGGGGAGCACGTACCAAGATGGAGAAGGCTGGGGTTGGGGGGGGGGCCTGATTTGCAGGTACTACCAGTATAGTAGGAGAGACACGTACAAAACCTAATGGCTACAGCCGGCTTTTCCAAGCCACAAAACTGCTTAAGGCTGAGAGGTCAAAGAAGGACGTTGTCGATGGTTTTTGCTTCCTTGAAGAAATTGCCTCTGAACTGAATCTTCAAGACCAAGTCTTCCAGAAATGGCAGGGTGGAAGATCAGGGGAGCACAGCATAGGAAAACCAGGCGTAAGTGATGATTTTTGTAGGCCCTAGGCACTTTTCCCCTGGTAGGCTCCTTCCTCCATAAAGAAATATTCAAAAATGTATTTCACAACTGTGGTGGTGTAAAGACAAATATGTTAATGTTTTGTATTGAAGCGTTTTCATCTACCTAAAAGTTCTTTTGTTTTTCTTCTGATTTTAAAGAAGTTAAAACATTTTCATGGGATCCTAAAAGTAGTGTGGCCCGGGGCTCCACGCCTGCTGTGCCCAGTGGATAAGATGGCAGTGGGCAAAGTCCAGCCATGTGACAGCCTGGATAGAACATTAAAGCACCTGGAAGGTACGATTCTCCTGGGGGAGTGGTTGGAGAGAGGCTATAAACGCGGGCAGCAGCTGCACAAGAAGGGCCTGGAATGACCTAAGGAGTGTGGATTTTGTGGTGGAGGCGGTGAGGAGCCACTGCAGGGCTGGAGGAATGACAGTTTGGGGGTGGAAGGGGGGGCGCCGAGAGCACTGGGATGGCTGTTGCTGCAATATGACATTCCTACTCTCTTGGAGCAACAGTGGGGATGGAAGGGAGGGGAAAGGGCAAAAGAGATGTGGGAATGTGCAGCAGATTGATGTGAGGGGCTGGGGCAGGGAGAAGCCTGGGCTGATTTCTCTGGCTTGTCCCTCTGCCACAGCCCCTCTTGGAAAAGGAGAAAACAAGAGGAGAAACTGTGTGTCCTTTGGGACTTTGGGAAGATCAAATGGAAGGTCCTTCACCAATCACAAAGCAGGGAGAATTTGTGCACCTTAACAGGGGTGTGGGTGGCTTCAGGGCCACTTCTTGCCCAGATCTCTGCAGTGGTTCCTTAATAGGCTTTCCAACCCCCTCTCTGCTGCCCAAGCACCTCTCCAAAGCTCCATTCCCATTGGGCCACTTTTCTGCTCCCCATGGCCCAGAGGACACAACGACAGTCCTCACCTGGGCATTTCCAGAGTTCAGAATGAGAAAAAACCGACTGCATTTTCAACACTCTTTACAGTAGAACGCTGTTCCAGAACCTCATTTGGTACACATTTCTCAATCCTCAATAACTGCCCTTTCTCTGTCGCCACCCCCGCACTCCTCTGCCAGAAAACAAACAAAAATTATACTTGATTCCCACCTTCCAATGCAAACACTGGGCTTCCTCCAGAGCAGACCAGGCCAAGATCAAGGGATGGGGCAGGAAACAGACTTTCAGGGAGAAGAGCTGGGCTCGCATGGCCCCTTGAAAGACAAACCTTCATTTATCTACTCCAAAACATGGACTGAGCACCTACTATGTGCTTTTGCATCATTCCAGGCACTGGAGATGCAACAGTAAACAAACAAGAAGTGGTTTGCATGGAGGTGATTCCACTGGGGCAAGACTTGACTGTGGAGATGGCACTTTCCAAAGACGGCCACACGTTCTTCTAGAACTTTCCCTCTTCCTCATCAAAAGGTGGTGTCTAACATCCCTTCCATTTAGTCTAGGCAGACTTGTCACTCACAACCAGCAGAATGCAGCAGAAGTGATTTTGTGTGACTTCTGAGGCTACGTCATAAAAGGCGCTGCAGCTTCTGGCTTATTAGTTGGGACACATGCCTTTGGAGCTTTAAGATGGAGTGTAGGAAGTCCACCTACCCTAAGACTGCCATGCTGTGATGAGACCCAGGCCACATGGAGAGGCCATGCATGTGTGTTCTGGCTGACATCCCAGCTGACATCCCAGCCAACAGCCAGTGTCAGCTGCCAGACATGTGAGTGAGCGAATCTTTAGACATTTCCAGACCCTAGCTGTCAAATCACTTCCAGCCTTCAAGACTTCCCAGCTGAGGCCCCACACATCATGGTACAGAGACAGTCCATCCCCACCGTGTTCTGTCCAAATTCCTGACCCACAGAATTCATGAGCATCATAGAATGGTGGTTGTTTAAACTACTAAATTTGAGGTGGTTTACTATGCAGAAATAGTATCTAGAACACTCACAATAAGCAAGCAAATACATGAGCAAGATCATTTCATATTGTGATAAGTCCTCAGGAAATCATAAGACAGCATGATAACTCGGAGGAAGGCCTCTTTAGCTTGGGGGTGCAGGGGCATGCTGATAGGCAGGGGAGGCAGGGGAGGTAGCATCAGGAAAGGGCTTTCTGGAGAAACATTTGAACTGGAATCTGAGTGAGAAGGAGCCCAGCCACCAAATATCTGGCAGAGAGACTTCCAGGCAGAAGGTACAGCAAGTGCAAAGGCCCTGAGGCAGGAATCAGGTGGGTGCACTGTGAAGATCAGGAAGGCCAGTGTAACTAGGGGGATGTGAGTGAGGAGGAGAGTGGGGGCAACGAAGTTGGAGAGGAAGGCAGAGAGGCAAGCTTCAGCAGTCTTACAGGGTGCTGAGAAGAGTTAGATTTCAGAGTGAGTGAGCTGGGAAACCAGTGGAAGGTATCACACAGGAGTGACTTGGTAGGTAAAGCTCTTTGTTTTCCCAATCTTTTTTTTTTTTTTTTCTGCTTTATCTCCCCAAATTCCCCCCCGCCGCCGCCCCACATAGTGTATATCTTAGTTGCAGGTCCTTCTAGTTGTGGCATGTGGGACACGGCCTCAACGTGGCCTGACAAGCGGGGCCATGTCGGCGCCCAGGATCCGAACAGGTGAAACCCTGGGCCGCCAAAGCGGAGCGCGTGAACTTAACCACTCGGCCACGGCCTGCCTGGAAAAACTCTTGATAAGAGCTTTGGGTGTCAGGTGGGTGACAGACTGTAAGGACAGACAGGGCGAAGGGAGGAAGACCACTTGGGAGGCTAAGGGAGTGGTGCAGGAAAGAGGGGATGGATGGCGGCCTGAGGCAGGGTGACGGCGGAAAAGATGAGCTCTCGTGGACAAACTGGGGACACAGAGGAAGTGACAGAGACCTACGAGAAGGGAGGAGGCGCCCGGCCCGCAAGTCGGTCCCGGGCGGGGCCGTGACGTCGGCGAGGGCCGGAACCCCGCATCCTGCTGGAATCCCGGAGGGAGGCTCCGAGCAAGGGCCCACCAGGAAGGCGCGTACTGGCGGCCGGCGTCCGCCGCGCGGAGCCAGCATCTGGCTGGGCGCCTGCCCGGCGTTTCCCGGCAACGGCCGCCGCCGCCGGAAAGTTACCAACCTGGCGGCCCGGTGACGTCGTCGTCACCTTGGCAACGGCTGGTGTGGACGCTCTGGGGGCGGGGCCTGGGCGCGGTGCGCTCCGCCTTCTGCCGCCAGGCCCCGCTTCCAGCCCCCGCCCCTCCCCCGCAGGCGAGAGGCGGAGCCCCGGGCCGGGCGGCAGGTGGGGCGGCAGGTGTGCGGCGCGCCAGGCGAGGCCTCACCGGGTGGCCGCTGCTCTCCTTGGTGTGCGTTGCCTCTGGCGCGGTCCCCGCCCATCCACCAACCCCTCCCCAGTCTTCTCCCTACGCCTCTACGTCCAGCCATCGGGACTGGCTCCTCTTGTCGTTCAGGTCGCTTCCTCAGAGATGCCTTCTCGACTACCCAAGCTAACGTAACTGCCGACCCCCTTCTCATGGACTGACCTTGTTTTTATTTCCTTCACAGTATCGCTCCCCTCTAAAATTATCTTATCCCTGTTCCATGAGGTTAGGGATAAATTCTGCCATGATCATCAATATTCTTAGCACCCTGAACAGAACCTGGCTGAAGTAGGTGCTCAATAAATGTCATCCTTAGCTGGATGACTCAGTGAATTCACTCAATCATTTCGTTCATCTGTGCTTTTGTTTATTTATTTGACATTTATGGAGTGCCTTCTAGGCACTTGTGCTAAGAGATACTGAGATGAACAACACAGGGACTCCACCTGGAGGTGAGAAAAGAGATATATTAAAACTAATAATTACAATAATACTGAAAGTGAACATCTCTGAATTCTAGATGCGAGGCAGAGCTCCAGGCACTTTACACATATTAATTTAGTTAATTTTCACAAAAGTAGAGACTGTTACAATTGCACCCACTTTACGGATGTGAACACTGAGAACAGTCATGCTGTCACTCTCTGGGCCTTGTAATCAAGTGAGGTCCCACAGAGGGCAGAGGAGGGGGACATGTGGCAAAGGGTCCGGCGAGATGTGGCTATCAGGCCCAGGTGCGTAGACTTGGTATTTTAATTGCTGCCCCACACCACAGTCTTCCACAGGAGACAGGCTCTTCCAAGTCAGAGCTGTGCTGCCCTAGGGGAGCCCACCTAGATCAGCAGAGCAGGCGATGAGGGGCGGTGAGGGGTGTGGAGGGCTGAGTCCCTGGCTGGCGGTACCATAGGAGCCTACCTGTTCAACTGAAGCAAAGTGCTCCTGCCCCTTCCTACAAAGGGGTGTCCAGGAAACCCAGGAACTGAACTGATTCCCACCTCTGGGTTTCTGTATCTGCTCTTCCCTCTGCGCAGCCTGCACCTACCCTGATTTTCACAAAACTAGCTCGCTCTTATTCAGATCTCAAGCGAGGTTTCTTTTTTCCTTAGAGAGGCCTGCCTTGGTCACATTCCCTAAGGCAATCACGTGTCATTGTCACATTAAGATTCCTACCCTGGAGTGGGAGAATGGCCTAGCCAGGTACATTGCCCTTATTCCTGATCTGATTTTCCTGTTTATTCGTTGTCTCTGTCTCCTCATTCTAGAAAGTCAGTTCCCCGAGAGCAGGACCCCCTTCGACCTCACCTGTGTCCCTGCTGCCTAGAACAGGCTTGGTATGCAGCAGGCGCTCAATGCTTTTTGAAAGAAAGAGTAAAAAGGGCCCTTCCCCAAATCATTCTGGCTTTCCAGGCCAGGAACCCGTACTCCTCGCACAGAACCTGACCTGAGCAGACAAAAGTGGCCCAGCCATCTTAGCCACTGGCATTCTGGCGTGAGGCCCTCCCTCCTTCCCAGGGCCGACTGGGCTGCTCTCCCACTCTGGAGCAAGATTCTGGTCCGATTCCACCCCAGGATGTTGTCCAAGAACCTCCAGAGGGGAGGCCAGAGGCTGAGGGGCAGCGGTGTCTGTGTGTGGGTGGGCGAGGGAAGCAAGGAGAACAGGGGAGGGGCAGGCCTTCCTGGGTCCCGGCCAAGGTGGTAGAAGAAGGGGTGGCTTTTCCCAGCCTGCTGTTGCCAGGAAAACAGGCACCTGGAGGTGTGGCTGTTTTTCCCCACAGTGGGAACCCAGACTCTGGAACAGATGCACAAATAGTCAGACACAAGGAAGAGAGAATAAAACGGGTTTATTCAGACTGTGCAGAGTGTGGGGCAGTGGGGGCAGAGAGGCAGTACATTTGGCTTCTAGGGACACTGCTGCTTGCCAGCCTCGTCTGTGTGACCTTTGGGCGGCCAGGACGACCAGTGGAACAATGGAGATGGTGATGAAGGGGCTGCAGCAGGGCCCTTTCCGGAGGCCTCAGGCCAATCCCAGAGACCAACAAATCCTCTGTCTGTTGGCCCTGCCCTCTCCAGGAATTAAGGAGCAGATGGCTGAGAACACTTTAACTCATAATAAAGAAATAAAGGGTGAGGGTGGAGGGTCACTCAGGGGCTCCGTCTCAGGCGGTGTCATGCAGACTCGCATGTGGGCATGTGGGCCAGGCCTGGGTGAGGAGCACGTGTGTCTGTATATATTTCACCTGCCACAAGCAGCTGCGAGCCCCCGTCCTACTGCCACACCCGGGCTACTCCGTGGGCCTCCTCCCAACCTTTTCTCCCCATTTTGTAGGAACCGGGCCTATTGATAGAATCGACATAGGGAAACTGCCCACAAGTCTCCGAAGATGCCTTTTCTTCTCGGTCCTTGCCTCATGTGCACAGGAAGTAGGCACTCAGTCCTGGGACCCTGGAGAGAGTTGCCCCAGTGACGGCTGGGAGGCTATGGTGGGAGGCAGAGGGGCTCATTGGGCGGCTGGCTGGGAGTGGCTGCAGGGCACATGCGCCATCTCAGCTTCTGCCAGGCCCCCGCTGAGCCCGGCTGGGCTGCGCAGGAACTGTCGCAACAAGGGGCAGGCGTGGAGCCCGAGGTGGGGGCCCGGGCCCCTGGGCGGCTCTGCCTGCTCCGTGACCGAGGTGGAGGAGGAGAGGACTGTGTTCCTGCAATGGTCCACTCCCTCGCACTGCTCGGTCATGCTTCTCATGGCTCCATAGTGGTGAGAGCCACCCGGACCAGTCTGCAGCTCCAGAAGGCTCTTCTGCTGCCCGGTGGGCAGGGGGCTGGCTGAGGCAGGGGCAGTTTCAGGCTGTCCAGAGCACTGGGTGGCCTCCTTTTTCTCGGCCTTGTCCTGGACGCCCTTCTGGTGGAGCAGGGCGTGGCCCACATCCTGGGCCAGGTGTGTGCTTTTCACTGAGACACCAGGGCTGCCCCTCAGGCTGGGAGCCTCCGGCAGCTTCCTTGTGGCTGACTCAATGGAGATGATGGTTGGGGAGGAGGGTGAATTCCGGCTGGAACGCAAGACTCGCAAGACTCGAGGGAGGTCTGAATTATCTCTCAGTGTCTCCAGCCCCCTGGTGGAAGGGGCAGTTGAGGCTGCTTGACCTCCGGCCTCTGTGTGATTTTTAACCTTGGCTTGACTCTGGACCTCAGGGTCGCACAAAACCTTGGTTTGGCTCTTGACTGCAGTTTGACCCCTGACCTCTTGGCTTGAGCAATTGGGCCTGGCTCTACTGCTGTCCGTGACACTGACCTTGTGGGCATTGTGGTCCCTTGGGTGTCCTTGGGAATGGCCCTTGGCATTAACCTCAGGCTGGAGGCTAGACATGGAGCTGAGGGCCTTGTGCACAGCCTCCTCGATGTCCAGCAGCCTGGCCAGGGTCTGTTCCTTCAGCCGGGCCACTTCCGTGCTGACCTTTGTCAGCTCCCCAAAGGCCTGCTCCACCGAGGCCTCGGGCTGGCAGGGGGCAGCAGGAGTCTGAGAGGCCTCTCTCAGCTGGGGCACAGCCTCAAAGAGCCTCTGCAGCGCCCGCACGTCCACACTGCCTGCGGCCTCCTTCTCCAGGGCTTGTACCTGGTTCAGGAGACCCTGGAGCTCTTGCTGGCTTCCCTGCAGAACCTCAGGGCTCTCAGGGGCCCCTTGCTGGGAACTGTCCATGGGCTTTTCTCCTGGGGGGCTGGGGCCCTTCTGTGGTGAGGTGGGGTCACTGCTGAGAGCTGAGACCTTGGGAGGCTCAGGGCTTTGGGTATTGCTGCCAGCAGCCTGACCCCTTGTGGGCTTGGTGGCCATGGTACTGTGGCCATGTTGGGAGCCGGGCTGGCTCTGTCCACCAGGGCATCCAGCCAGAGGTACACGGCCCTGGCCTGCAGTGGTGGGGACCTTGGCTGACGGAAGGATGGCTGCATCTCTCTCACCTTGTTTGTGTTCTCCTTGCCCCACCTCCTTGGAAGAGCCAGGAGACAGAGCCAAGGGCTTGGGTGGTCTCTGAGGAGGGCGGATCTGGCTTAGGTGTGCCGGTTTAGGGGGCAGCTGGGGCTTCTTCCTTGGGGGCATGGTGGGCTCCAGTTTTGAGGTTTTTGTCCGTGATCCCCCAGGGGTTCTCTGGCCAGCAGGGCTGTTGTGGGAGTGGAGAAGGGTGTCCTGCAGGGGCTCGGAGGCCTGCCGGA